CTCCATTCCAACCCCTAAACTTCTATGCTTCTGTGAAGCATGAATAAAAGGTGAGGTAGATACCAGCAGTGACCATCTTCTTGCTCAGTCTGGTTCTAGTGAAGCAGTTTGCTGAAGACTTTATCCACTCTCTGCTGCCAATATAGCTAATTCAGAAAGATAAACACTGGGTTGCCTGAAATCAGGTTACTAATAAAACAGAGGATGCTGATTTAAAATCCAACTTGTTATCTCACCCAGTGAATATGAACAATCTGCTTTCCTGACCAACTCGATTATCAGTAAAGACACAGTGAGTAACTGGCACTGTGCTGCACTAACATTCAGCTGATAAATTAATTCAATATGCATAAATCGTTGGGTAGAACAGAAGCAGAGTCAGAGAAGGAAACCACTGTCATACAAGCACTGTGTCATGCTTTGAAGCTTAATCTCTCTGTTCCTTTGCTCTAGCTTTGCTCCTGTGTTTGTGCTGCAGGAGGTCACTCACTGTCTTCTAATATCAAAACCATTGGCATGATCTCATAATTAAAGGGGGTTTTTTTCTGGTGAAGGTAATACCTTAGGCTAATAAGTAACCAAGTTCACCTCTTCCTCACCTTATTTACACAAGTAATTGCATTCACTTGACTATGGCCATTCTGATAAGTAGGATGAGTAAGGGATTTGGCCAAAAGATGAGTATTTAAACACCTAAACCTGTTTCAGTCTGAGCAGTTTTGTGACATAGTAGCTGTAAATTAAAATTCCGTTCTCTTATTAAATTTGTGCTAAAATCAGTGAGGTTGTATGGAAAAAGAATTTGGTCCTTTATAGTTTGTGCACTCTGTGTCTCAAAACAACAATATTGCACATTTTAGGTGGAAAAATTACCATATTATTATCTTTGGTATGGTGGAGACCTTTCTCTTTAGAAGACCAAAGTTAGATCCTTTGCTATAACAACAGTTATCATATGAGAAATGCTTTTACTGTCTGTATCAGTGTTTATATTATATTGATAATAGTAAGTTTTCTTTTTCAGTTAAAATGGTAAGAACTAGTTCATTTCTTAGCAGAATCTCACATGATGTCTCTTACACCTTGGAAACAAGGAAAACAGAACTTTAAAAGTTAAAAATGAGCATAGAATCTACATGTATTTATATGAAAATGTATATTGTTTCCCAGATTTACTCGATTCTATGCTTCTGTAAAATCAGAGTAACTATTACAAGGTTCACGGTCAACCTGATGAGCTATCAAAATCTAACAATTCTTTCTTCTAAGTGTGACATAAACCAACTGATGTCTTTCTTTTAAAGGCTATCTGATAACTTCTATGTGAATAGAGGATGCATTGTGCCCCATCAACTGCTCTATGATCTGTACCATGAAACCTGCAATCCAGACTGCAAGGTTCAAGTACATCCATCCACCTTTGGAAAGGTACAGAGTAGATAGGATAGATAAGAAACAGGAATACCTAAACAGAAAATATGCTCTTCAAATATACACACTGCATATCAAAAGAGATTAAACAAGAGAGAGGAATGAATATGTAAACTATTATGCGTCTATCTTATGTATTTCTGGTGAGCCCTCAGATAGACACACACTAGAGAAAAGAGTATTGTCTATAATGGAGTTTATTTTCTTCAGTGAACTGATGTATGTTACACTAGCAAAGATTTCTTTTGCTAATATGTTTTAGAAAGTTTTACCAGCTTTCTTTTTTTTTTAACAGCAGATTTTTCCTGAGAAGGTGATTCTTCTGTCTTTAAATGATACCTTTGTTGTCACAGAATTTTTTACTTTCCCTTTTAAGTATACATAGAATCATAGAATTTGAGGGGTTGGAATGGACCTTAGAGATCATCTAGTCCCAACACTCTGCCCTGGGCAGGGACACGTCCCACCAGAGCAGGTTGCTCAAGGCTCATCCAACCTGGCTGTGAACACTGCCGGGGTTGGGGCATCTTTTCCAACCCAGTGGATTCTATGATTCTATGATTCTATGATCTATGACCTCCCTGGGCAACCTGTGCCAGTGTCTCATCACCCTGACAGGAAAAACCTTTTGCCTAATATCTAACCTACATTCCCCCTCCTTCAATTTGTCCCCATTGCCCCTTGTCCTGTCCCTGCAGCTCCTAACACAGATCCCTCTCCAGCTTCACCATAGCCCCTTCAGCTCCTGGAAGGTGCTCTGAGGTCTCCACACAACCTTCTCCTCTCCTGAACAACCTCAACTCCCTCAGCCTGTCCTCATAGGGGAGATGCTCCAGTCCTATTATCAACTTCGTGGTCTCCTCTGGACTTGCTCCAGCAGTTCCATGTCCTTTTCTATGCTGAGGGTACCAGAGGAGCTCTCTTACTTGAGCCCAAGAACCTCCTCTTACTTCAGGAGCTTTTACTCCAAACACACCCTAAAAAGTTGTTACAGAATCATCCAAGCAGAATAAATGCAGATGTAAAACTGAAACTCATTTTAACAGTTCCCCCCTGCTATTGCATGGAGGTTGAAATGACCCACAGAGCAATTACATTTTGATATCCCAATTGCAACAAACAGCCATAGCTACCCAACATCTTTTAACAAATTAAGGAAGATAGAAAGCCTGTGATTATTTGATGCTCAAGACATTTTGTTCAGAATTTCCTATTTTTTACTGCTCTTATTCTGTTAGTTCCCACAGTAAGAGCTACTAGGCATTGTTTTTAACACAAAGCAAAAATAATTTAAGCACAAGTTGTACCTGAAATCAATTTAATTTGTGTTGATAACCTCATTTTAGGAATCATTTATCTCAATTCAGTTGAATCTCTTTTTTTTTTTTTTTTTTACTGGATAAGTTAAATCACTTCTACTGAAAATTAAGATTTGAGTGAGTAATCCAGTGTGATTTATTACCACAGCTTAATGGATCATCACCCATCAGCTAGGACCATGGGTAGAATTTGCTTGGCTCAGTGTAGATATCTGCCATGAAACTAGTCTCCTTAAAATCCTCTGGTGGCCAATGGAGAGAAATAAGTAGTTACACATGATTCCTCTCACACTAAATGAGTAATCTCCAGCAGCTCAGACAAAATGTGCCTCAGAACTGCTTGTTTTTCTCCATTGACTACAGAGTCTGCAGCAACCAGCTTAGACATCTCTGCCTTGTGGCCATGTAGGTAAGGTTAATCCTGCCTGTAGACTTTCAGGTGCTCCAGCATGACTGAGTTACCACCTGTAAGCTAAGCCTTCTTGTGGTTTGCCTTAATGTATTTTACCTTTGAGTTGGGACAGGCAGAGATGAAACATGAGTCTGCTCACGCACGGGAGCTTAGCTGATGAACCAGAGCTGCTATGGGTTGGTGCTTGCAAGACTTTGCTCCCAGCCTTAAGCCACCCAGTGCATTGCAGTGCAGGTTAACACAGCCCAGGTGAGAAAGCTGCAGCTCCCCAGGGGCTCGAAATGCCTTCTGCAGCAAGAGAACAGACCGTGCAGCAAGAAGCTGAAGAGGGCAGGAACTGCAGCAACCCTGGTTTAAAGTAGAGATGCACATGTAAGCAGTTAGCCCAGCGTACTAACTGCTAGGTCACTGTAAGCAGTCAGCCCAGCGTACTAACTGCTAGGTCACTACATCTTGGTGAACTGTTAGTAGTTCACCAAGATGTAGTGACCTGACTGCACTACGTGTGTGTGAACTGTAAGGGCTTTTGCAGTCAAGCACTGTGTGAATCAAATTGTAGTGACTGATGACACTACTAACACTAGAAGATACTTTCTGCCCTGTAGAAGAGGCAGCAAGAGGAATTGTGTGTCCTGTGCCAGAGAAGCCCCAATTTCTTAGTCTCCCCTTTTAGGAAGATGGGATTATGCTAAACTATCAGTTTGCAAAAAGGAGCAGCTAGGGTGAGTGCATGCAGAAATGTGCAAAGAACAGGACCACTGTTAAAACTGGAGGTGTGTGGTAGTGTGAGTTGGGAAAATTTATCCTTTATCAGGCCTTTGCACCAGCAACACACACTGTTCACAGAGTCCAAGCCTTGTGCTGCTGAGTGGAGACTTTCACTCCTCTCTAACGTGAAGCACTCAACCCTCTGTTCCTGCTATACAGGGAATGTTAGTTTCAGGTGTCCTGGGTTAGTCTCTGTCTTTACAGGGCAGCTCACGCAGAATAATCGTAGCGAAGTGGATTATTACCCTGACAGTATCTAATTACTCTGTGGGACCTAACCCTGACAGATGCTGCATGACCTCAGTTCACACTTGGTGGTCAAAAGGTTTCTTTGCAGCTTGATGATTCAGGTCCTTTCAGAACAGATAAGTCGGGCCCCATCTTGTCAGTACACCTTGCAAGAGTGGAGTGGGTAGGCAAAGCCCCTTGTGTGAGTAAATCCTACTCAAAGGAATAAGGCTTGCAGGTCTGGCAGAGCACAGAGGCATCACAGCACCTTCAAGTTCCCCTGCAGATTGACCCCTCCTGACTGTGGGAGGTCTCCTGGTGTGACCACTGACTGTTTTTCAGTGCAAGGTGAAGCAGACTAGTCTAAAAAAAATTCCTACCTGAGGGAGATAATCCCTTAAATTACTTAGCCTTTTATCCGCAAAAGCCTGGTTGAGTTTAGTTCAACAGTTACCATTCTAGAGGTATGTAAGAACAGGTATTAGCCTGCAAAAGAAGTGATTGAAGACAAAACATATGTGGCAGATACTTTTTTTTTTTCATTTTAGAATGAATTTTCCTAGTATCTCTAATTTTCTGTTTGATTTTGCAGCTTATTCGATTAGTTTTCCCAGATCTGGAGTCAAGAAGAAAGATCATATTGGGGACTGTGAGGTACTGGGTTTGCATCCTCTCTTTGAAAATGTTATTTATAACTCTTCTAATAAAATTTCCAAGTGGCTGACTTTTCAGGCCCAGCACTGTAAGATGGCAGCTGAGCTGTTGGTTGCAGGTCTGTAACACATCACAAGATCCTGAGTGATTCATGGTATCACCAAGGACATTAAAATAGAGATAATTCCATGAGAAGCTCCACATTGGATCTGCTTTGGTAGGACATGAGTTTCAGATCAGACTGCTCTGATTTGTGCTGGCTGTTAACAGCATGGTTTGCACGAGCTTCCTCAGAGTTCCTGAGACACTGAGTCTCAAGGCCAGGGAAGTCTGGCTCTGGGATGAATGGGGTGTCACCTGTGATTAATGTCTCTCTTGTGCTTTTCATCCTTGCACATATCAATGGAGTGACCCAGCAAATACTGGTGGTCAATGGAAATGCTGTAAACAGTTTCAAACCATTTAAATCAGACAACTTCAGGTCCTCTACCTACATGTCATTTCTTTTCCCCTCCCTCTCTTTTTCTAGAGCACAGTTTGATGCCCTTTCATATCCAAACTTATAAACACATTCTGAACAAACAGACTGGGAAAAGGGATGTTCTAAGGGCATTGGGACAAGCAGTTTGACAAGCATTGTGTGTAGCTGTCAAGTGCAGGTTTGAGAACAACATGCCCTTACTTGATCTGTGACTTTTCCCTACTAGCTGGGACTTGCTATCAGCTTGAACCAGGAGATCCTTTATTTTGGGAGTGCTTCACCAGAGACACTCCCAGTCTTCTCCTCATAGCAGTCAGGGTTTGGGATGGTGTTTGGGAGTCCCCAGCTTCTCTCTTCCCATCTTCAGAGTGTTACCCTCCCCTGGCTGCTGGTGGTCCCAAACCACAGATTCCTGTTGGCTCAGCCTGGGAAGAGCCAACTGGTAACACCTTGGAGCAGGGACAGTGACTCTGCTGCTCACAGAGCTCAGGATAAGCCTTAGAGAAGGTCTGGGAGGTTTCTTGAGTGTTAGCTTGCCATGACCACTGAAGGGCCATTCAAACCCTAAGCTACTGTGAATGACTGAGGAACAACTGCACCAAATCCTTCAGCTTCAATGGAAATATGGGAACCTCTGTCTACTGAGACTCTGGTCCCTGACTTCACCAACTCTCCTGTGCAAATCTGTTGCAACCCCATTCACTGGTTTAAGGTTTTTTTCTTTCATTAAAGAAGGTATCATTCCAGGGCAAAACCTGTTAAAAAGAGTTTGTGAAGAGTTTGTGCAATTATTTTCTGTTGGGAAAAAAATATTCAACAGAATTTAACAAGTAAATATAGCTTTTTTTTTTTTTTTTTTTTTTTTGGTCTTTTCTTTGTTAAAAAGAATGATCATCTGCTTTCAAAGGAGAATTATGAATTATTTGCTGACTTTTTGAAAAACATATAGTTGTCACTTCATCCTTTTTTTTTAAATTTTCCAGCTATCATTATGATGGAATAGCTATCAAGACAGAGTCTCCCTTTTATGCACGTTTTTGCTGTCTTCTGTATGAACATCCCAGGTTTGTTTGCTAAAATGTTTTGATCCAAAAATGTCATATGTCAGTCTATGTATTGTCTGTACCTAAAAGTCTGTGTAGCATCTGCTGAATATTGACAACACCATTATATTTTTTTCTTATTAAACACACTATAAAAGTGCTGTGCCATTTAGTGCTGTGCCCTAATGGAGAGGCTGCAATTTGGGAATAGCCCCTGCCTAATTGGACTTCTTTCAATTGGACATTTTAGCCATGTAGGTCTTAAGAGCAGGAACTCATGCTGAACCTAAAAGAACAACTTAATATTTTGACATTCAATGAGAGCTCCAAAACATATATCGAAATGGCTTTGAGTGAATGTATCACCTTCCTTATTAACCAGTAGGCTGAAGAGACATTTTAAAGTATAAATGACTGTGCTGTTCTTAAGAGTCCTACACACATTCATGTTATCTGGGGGGTTTTGTACTACTTGAAACAAACTTACTTTGAAAATACATCAGTGTATACAACTTTCTCAAGGAAGGAAGTAGAAGGACAGCACTGACCTTCTCCCTGGCAACCAGGGACAGGGCCCAGGGAATGGTCTGAAGTTGTGTCAGGGAAGGTTTAGACTGGAGATTAGCAAATGGTTCTTCCCCCAGAGGTGTTTGGGCACTGAACAGCTCCCAGGGCAGTGGGCACAGCCCCAAGGCTGACAGAGCTCCAGGGGTGTTTGGCCAATGCTCTCAGGCACAGGGTGTGATTGTCAGGGATGTCCTGTGCAGGGCCAGGAGTTGGACCAGATGGTCCTCAAGGGTCCCTTCCAACCCTGATTATTCTGTGATTCTGTGATACTTCCTTCACTTTGTTTTAAAATAGGAGATTTTAAAATCAATTCTTGTAAGAGAACACAAATAAGAAAATGTACAAGAGGAGTATACATTGCAAAAATTGAAAGTCTAAAAGTAACTGAAGAATGTAAGATACTTTGGCAGACTAAAGTGTAGACAGAAGCATGATCCAGTTGTGGATAGGAGAGGAAGAATTCTCATGGTTAAATTCATGGTTCAGATTAAAAAAACACAGACTTGCCTTTCTCTCCGGGAAAAAAACAAAGGAAGGGAAATGCTGCCCCCTGTAACAGTTTTACACTCCTTTGTGATGCATAGGAGAAGAAAATTAGGTTCAGCCTGTATCTTGGGCTTTGAAGACCAGGCTTGTATCCTCACTCTCTTACAGTCTTGTACATTATTTTAGTGTGTACATGGATAAATTCTATCCTTTAGTTTCCATTCTTTCATATGAGATTAGCATTATGCTGTAGCATGAATGTTAGGGGCATACAAGTCAGCCTATTGCACCCAGATATTCTGGTGATGATGAAACCATTTCAGTGTCTGTGATATTTTGTATAATATTTACTTATTTGAGTGCATGCTCTGCAAGAGCATAGAAAAATTATACCCATAGGTTTGTTTCCATTCTCCACAGGCTTTATAGCAGAGTAATGTTGCAGAAGTTCATGGAGGGCCAACAATAAGTGATGGGACAGGGCAGAGGATCAGGTTCTGCAGATAATCAAGTGGCAGTCAGTTGTTGTGAGACCAAACAAATTATTCATAGGCAATTTGAAGCTGGTTTCCCATGAGGCTCTTACTGAAGTGATATCCTTCACTTTCCCTGCACCCAGTATAACCAGAACAGGCCTAAGATTTGACATCCACAATGAGGAAAGGTCTTGTCCACTGTTCAAAGAACATTGCAGGCCTCTGGCTAAGTCTCTGCTGGTCTTTCCTTTTCAGGGAAAAAATACGTTTCCCTGCAGCATCACTTGAAAACAGCAATCTTGAATGGGAATAGTAGGAGAGTTTGGTGGTCCTGGTCACAGGAGAGATGGGAGAGAATAGAATAATTTGAATTGTTGCTCTTTTTTCATCCCAGTGTTGAAACATAATGAAAAATAAGAACAAGTAGGAGGAACCAGAGAAGCAATGTTGGCTAAGTCAGAGCCAGGTGCAGAAAGGAGGACTTTAGCTGCTGCTGGGAGACAGATGCACCACATATGCCAGCACAGCTTCTGTCCTTGGCCCTCCTCGTGGGAACAAGCCACCTCCTCTGATGGACTGGGAAACACACTGCAGCCCATGCTGAGCCTAGGGCAGCTGCTGCACTGGCTGCAGGTCTCCCTCTCCTCCAACAGCAGATGCCAGAGGTGCCTACCCAGACACACCTCGTAAAAAAATGCATTATATTGGTCAAGCCAAGGAAAAGGTGTATTTCAGGGCAAGGGCTGACATTGAGCAGCCATCTACTGATCTTGATATTGTTTCTTGAGATAAACACCTGTCCTACAAGGAAAGGCTGAGAGAATTGGGGTTCTTCAGCCTGGAGAAGAGAAGGCTCTGAGGAGACCTTCTAGCATCTTCCAGTGCCTGAGGGAGGTCTGCTAGGGAGATGGAGAGGGACTTTATACAGGAGCAGGCAGTGATGGGACAAGGGGGAATGACTTCAGGCTGAGATTGGTTATTAGGAAGAAATTCTTTACTGTGAGAGTGGAACTGGAACAGGTTGCCCAAAGAAGCTGTGGATGCTTCAGGAAGTGAAGTGTTCCAGACCAGGTTGGATGGGCCTTGGAGCAAACTGGTCCAGGGGAAGTTGTCCCTGCCCATGGCAGAGGATTGGACTGGATAACCTCTGAAGGTCCCTTCCAACACAAACTATTCTATGATTCTATAACTTTTCAGGTTAAAAAACCCCACCAAACTATAAAGGTCATATTCAGGCAAAGATCATCTTTCTAGCTGGAATAGAAAACTCGGTTGGATGGGCCTTGGAGCAAACTGGTCCAGGGGAAGTTGTCCCTGCCCATGGCAGAGGATTGGACTGGATAACCTCTGAAGGTCCCTTCCAACACAAACTATTCTATGATTCTATAACTTTTCAGGTTAAAAAACCCCACCAAACTATAAAGGTCATATTCAGGCAAAGATCATCTTTCTAGCTGGAATAGAAAACTCCATTAACTACAAAATTATCTTATCTGATCCTTCCTTCAATGAAGACAGTTATAGAAGATACACTTATAGAAGAACTAAGCTGTTGAGTGAAGCCAGACAGCTAAAATTAGAACAGCTTCCAGTCTAAAAGCAGCCACATGTCCCTGTCCCAAGCCAACATGCAGGCCCACAACAGCTGGATGTTACAATTACTTCTGAGTGTCTCATGTAGGACAGCAGGAAAAAAAACAGAGAAAGCAGTAAAAAAAAAAGAAAAGCACAAAAATCAGCCAGAGAGGCATGAGTAGCACAACTCTGAAAGAAATAATTAGGTCACCTACAAAATAAGCATCAGCTTCAACCAAATAAGTGAGTTAGTTCCCATTTATGTGGAGTTTTGTACTTTCTTTGCAGATAAGTAGGAACATATCAAGAAAATATCTCATCTTTACTGCCCTCTCAGCAGAGTTCAGGACTTTTGTTGAGTTTCAGTTATTTTTTTCATGATCCAATGAAGCTGATAAAATCAGCAGTGGCAAATTCTAGATTAACTATCAAATTGAAATTTAGAAAAAGAGTCATTAAAACATGAAGACTTTTCCACCTGCAAGCAAGAATTTTGTTCTCACATAGGTAATCATATGCATACCCACAGCAAGGGTATTTGACCCATAACATCTCCATTTCTGAGAGGGTGCTGGTGTGGAAATTTCCAAATGATAGTAAAGAAGATTTTAAATACACCATTTCAGTGCAGTCCAAACGCTGTTCTGTGGACCAGACCCCTCTAAATGGAATATACTTCTCTGGCTTGTTGCCATCTCCCTCTGGCAGAGACAGGGGATATCTGTTTCAGGAGGGAACGTGTCCTAAGTGGCTCTTGCGCCCTCCCATGCCTGAATAAAGACCAACATGCAGCTGCTTTTTGTGTTCTACCTACCAGAGAGGAAGGTTCAGCCCAGTTGAGAGACCATCCATCCTGCCTGCAGCTTGATAAGGAAAGGGATGGTTTTAAAACTATGAACCACTCTTTCTAATCATTGAAAAAGATATTTCTTGACCATGTTGAGACAGTCAGCAATTGGCATGGGCTGGTAGGGAGGAACTAAGCCTCTGAAGGGTCTGGCTGCTTGGGAGCTATGCTAGTTGGTGTCCTAGAAAGGGCAGTAAGATGATAATGCTTTGCTTTTGGCTACAAAGAAGGTATTTGCCTTCTGATAGTCAGTGGGGCCTTGGATGTGTCAGGGTTGGAACATGTCCACACAGGGAGTGAGGAGGATGCTCTTACACAGCACCTGTGAGTTGGTTCATTTAGAAATCTTTAAGTCTTTGAAGATATGTGTACCACAGCTCTGATGATGATGTTGTGAAAATAGTGTAAATGAACAGAACTGTAATCAGTGAGGTCTCCAAATGCATTACAGACATTAAGAGAATGTGGTATTTCCTGATTTGCATTACAATACAATCATAGAATCACAGAATCATCAAGGTTGGAGGAGGCCTCTAAGATCATAGAGTCCAACCATTGGAATAGGAATGTGTTCCCTCTAGCTCTCCCTAAAACTACCTGCTCTGGCTCAGAATACAGCAGAGTTAGAAAATGTCACTGAGTTTTTGTTTTGTATGAGTTACTTTATGATTCTAGCAACAAGGAATGTTTGTGCTCCTGCCTGTCTAGTGAAGCAAACCCATGATTTTTTCATTAAACACAAAATCTGATACGATTCTAGTGAAATAACTTCTCTAATCTCAGTGTAATCTGAGAGTCAGCAGCATGCACATCACCACCCTCCCTCCTTTCATTTTCCTTTTGTCCTTCCCATTTGCCTCCTGTGTTAATCTTTTTATCACCCCCACTCTTGTATTTCCCATTTTAGCTCTGGTTCCCACCCCATAGCATCATGCACACTCTGCAAGAGAGACAATGAAACTCCTTGTGATTTTGCTGTCACCCATCTTCCCCTTCTCCCACCCACCTCCTCTTATGTGTGTTCTGTCTTCACCCAGGCATTGGCTTCTCATCTCTTCTGATGAGAAACCAAGCACGTCTGCAGACACCAGCTGAGCCTCAACCCCCTTGGCTAACAGTGAGAGCACACAGATACTAACGTTCCACAGTATTTGCTCTTAACCATCACTGAGCTCCTGGCTGGCTGCTGGGGCACAGGAAAACCCATGCAGCATCCCTTCTCACCCCTGATGTCCCTGTGAGGGGGAAGCAGGGACCAGCCTGCCGTGGGAGCCAACCCACTGGAGGCAAGCGATGCTGATATGTGTTGCCATAGTAGCAGCAGCAGAAGATACAGCTGGCTGCTTTCTCAGGGAGAGCAGGAGCTGGAAAATACTCATTAATTTGTTTCACAGGCTTTAGAAATCTGCAGAAGAGATCCCTTTGAAAGCAGCATTATGAAATGTCTCTACTTACACATGCTTCTCTTAGTCCAGCCACCACCTCTAAAATGTCTGGGAGAAAGAGTCCCCAGCACTCCCAAACATGCCCAGCATGAATGTTGTGCCCTGTCTTGGGCAGCCAGTTTGGTTGTTGCACTGAAGCACTGCCTTCATGGCACAGAGCAGGGGCAGAGGCAAAGGTGGCAAGGCTCAGTCCTGTGGACAGCAGAGAAGTGAGAGAATTTTCAGTGGGGAGTTTCCAGGCAGATAAGCTGTTGCACTTTGTGCTCTGTCCCTGCAGGATGTGTGGTGGTACCCTGGTTCATAATACATCCCAGCAGTGAAACAGGATCTCATTAGATAGCCTGAGTGTTGGCAGTCACCAGTGGAATCACATTTTCTACAAAGCCCCTCCTCATCACCCTTCAAAACAGCCAAGTCCAAAAGGCCCCTGAAGTTTGAAATGCCTTTGCAGACAGTGAGCAGGTGTCAGCAGCAGATGGAGGCTTGACTGGAGGCATCCAACTCTCACAGCATGTCCCTTTTACTAGCAACATTGCCTCTCCCTCCTCTAGCATCAGCCTCAGCAAAACAGGCAGGGAGACAGTAGGAGATAGTACAGCAAGAAATCAGCCTGTAGTGCCTTCATCCTTCCCTGACTTTTCAGTGAAACCAGTGGCCAAGCCTTGGCAGGTCCAGGTGAATTCTGTCCATGTGGAACATCATGTCCAGCTTGCAAAGTAAATGGGGGAAAATCAGAAACAAAATGCCAAAGGAACTGATGTAGGGTGCAGAAAATGTAATAAGTGTGAAACGTAAGCACAAGGATTATTTTACTTTGGTTATGTTCACATGTATAATAATTACCATCCCAAACAAACTGCAGCTACAAATACAAACCCATGGGTCTGATGCAAGAAGTTTGAAGACACTGCACTGTCAAGTGCTCAATACCTTGTTGTCTTTATAATGAATGTTTCAGGTTTATATTAAGAAATTGGTCTTCAGATTCAGTAGAAAATCGTGGGACTACTGAATGACAGGAAAGACAGTGGGGCTTGTTTCCCAGACACAATGTTCCAATCTAGTGCACTCTATCCAGTTTGAGCTCATTTTCTTGTTAAATACAAAGTAAAGTTTACATGTTTGTTTTCTGTTGTATATTTTGTCACAGCAGAAATGCCAGCAGTTCTGAAAACACAGTTGTTTACAAGAAGAGTAAGAAAGAAAAAGAAACAGTGAGTTTCAGATACATCAGCCATAACAAAATGTCTATTGTGTTGAATTAGAACCGCTATAAAATGTGTTCTGATGAAATACAGTGAGCCCATCTTCAAAATAACCTTTGCCTGTGTAATCTCACTAAATTCTTACTTCCACCACTCCTGTTTCACCCATTGCCTAAATATTTTTGTTGTCTTAACATCAGCTCACATAGTTTTGTCCATACAGAGCGTGGAAATTGCAGCTAACAGCTCAGGTTTGGAATATTGGGGGAGTTAGTGGGGAACAACCTGCCTTGCCTGAGGCCCCAAGGCTGGTGAGATGGTGTCTTTTCAACATGCTCAGAGTTTATTGGCATGAGAAGTATTTAAATACTAGGAAATCATTAAGAAACAAAGAGCTCAACCCCTGCTCACTGAAAAGGGCAGATGCAAAGCTAACCTGTGGCAGATCTGCCCTCAGCAAGCTGTCATGGGATGACTTGACACCAGGGCTGTTGGACATCAGCCAGCAGAGCATGAGCAACAAAATTTTGTGGAAAAAATGCAAGACTGGATGTGTGTCTTATTTCCACAGAGCACTCATGTGCAGTAATGAGTGCTCTGAAGTGGATGCAATGACAGCTGATGAGAAATGTGCTGTCCCCCTGACAGCATAGCCAGCTCTCTGCAGCCTGGTTCAGAAGGCTCCAGGTGTGACATGAGTGTGATAGAAAATACATGTGGAAGAGACACAGAGCAGAAAATATTCACTGGTTTTGAAAAGAAATCCATGTACTGTTTAGGGTTTGGTAAATATGGGTACAAATTGAAAGAGGGAAAATTAGGCTAGATATCAGGAAAAGTTTTTCCCTATGAGGGTGGTGAGACACTGTCCAGGGAGGCTGTGGCTGCCCCAACCCTGGCAGTGTTCACAGCCAGGTTGGATGAGCCTTGAGCAACCTGCTCTGGTGGGAGGTGTCCTTGCCCAGGGCAGGGGTTGGGACTAGATGATCTCTAAGGTCCATTCCAACCTCTAAAATTTTATGATTTTGTGATTCAAATATTTAAGCAGCCATGCTTCTTTCTTTCATCCACCCCTATCTCCTAAAAAGAGGATAAAAACAAACATTTCTCTGAAGAAATGCTGATTTTTGTAAAATCATGTTCTACAATTTCAAGAAAGTACTTAGTACCTGTAACCAAACTGACAAGATAATTTTGATTTTTTTTATATTTTGGGGTTTTTTTCTGTTCAAAACAAATTCTGATGCATCAAGAATAAGAATTTGAAGCATTATACATCTGATGTGTATCTGAATACTGAGCAAGAGACACCTCAACACCTTCCTGAATTCAACTGGTTCCTCCCTAGAGAGCAAGTGCAAAGGGAGACAGACCCCTATGAATTGATATGTTCAAGTATCTGGTCATAAGGCAAGTTAGCTCTTTCCCATGTGATCATTTTGTACTTTCCTTTTGGTCACAGGTCGCACAGTTTGCCAATGACTACTTCACCTATTGTCAAGTTATTTTACAATTGCTGAGAGAGCAGAAACTTGACAAGGTAAGACTTTGCTTTAATAAAACTCTGATGGCAGCAAAGGATAAAATTGTGGCTGAATAGCTTATTTTGTTGGTGGTTTGATCAAAGGTAGATGATAAATTACGGACTAAAGGAGCATTCAGGCAAGTTATTTTGGAATTCTGAATTAACCCAACATGCTCCAAGAATCTGAGTTTGTTGACATATCCTGAGCCCTCCTGGCACATCAGTAGGTCTGAGCCCAGCACATAACACGTGGCCATGGACACATATCTTTCATTATAAACTCGTATCCATGGCACAATTCTTTGTGTCTCTGCCTTGTGAGGTTCAGCTTGTTGCCACTTCCCCAGAACACTTACACTAGAGCCCGGCCAGGATGGGCCTAGGCAAAGAGCTCATCTCCACAGTCATTCCTTTGCTTCTTTGCTTGTGTGTTGATTTACTGAATTATGTTTCTTATTTCACAAGTGTAAAATCAGTGAAAATTCATAAAGGGCTTTGTGTGACAGGTGGAAGACTATATCATGTCATTCTGGAGGTCTCTGGAGCCTGAAAAAATGACACTGATGCGCATACCAGATGTGTGCAAGCTGTTAAAAAGCTATGATAATTATCTATTCAAGGTACTGTAGACACACTTACTTGTTGTAATCATGCTATTAGATGTTTGTGTCGTTGTTTCAGTTCTATCTAAGGAGAAAGGGCAGCTGTTCATTGTGTGCTGTACAACAGGATCTTCCTTCATACCTAAAGTCAACTCTCTGGCTTTTTCTAAGAGAGCAGAGTACTGGGTTTTGAAAGGAGCAAGTGGAATTTGAGATAGCTTCCGTTTTGCTCCTATATATTATAGAATCATAGAATTTTAGGGGTTGGAATGGACCTTACAGATCATCCAGCCCCACTCCCTGCCCTGGGCAGGGACACCTCCCACCAGAGCAGGTTGCTCAAGGCTCATCCAACCTGGCTGTGAACACTGCCAGGGTTGGGGCAGCCACAGCCTCCCTGGGCAACCTGGGACAGTGTCTCATCACCAGAACAGGGAAAAATGTTTTCCTAATATCTAACCTAAATTTCTCCTCTTTCAATTTGTCCCCATTGCCCCTTGTCCTGTCCCTGCAGCTCCTACCACAGCTCCCTCTGCAGCTTCCCTGGAGCCCCTTCAGATATTGAAAAGTTGCTCTGAGGTCTCCACACAACCTTCTCTTCTCCAGGCTGAACAGCCCCAACTCCCTCAGCCTGTCCTCATAGGGGAGATGCTCCAGTGCTCTTACCAACTTTGTGGCCTCCTCTGGACTTGCTCCAACAGTTTCATGCCCTTCAATATTAATCTGAAACTCCCTGCTATCAATGGAGTGTGCTGTTATAAATGTGGTCTGTGGTTCTGGCATGAGGTTATGTGACTGAAATTCCAACTGATACCTGTTTTCCAGATTATGAGAGTTATTGTTCCTTTGAGAACACTACTGGATTTCTCAGTGACATTCTACAGAGAAATATGCAGTTTTCTGATAAAAATAATTTGCTTCTCATTTGCAGCAGGTCATTAAGGAGTGTCTAGGAATTACTTCAGGAAAAAATGTTAGTTCTTAGGATCTTTTTCCTTCTGCTGATAAAGGTATTTTAGCCCTTGCTTGATTGAAAGGGAAAATGGGCTTATTTACATTTACATTTAAACTATCAATACAATTTTATTTCATGATGCTGTGTGTCTTTAGGACACCAATCACATGCAACACCATCACTTCGTGTTGTAGGAAATGGAGACCATCCTGCTCCCTGATTTCCTGGCAGAGCTTCCTGCACAATACCTCCACACAATCAAGTTGTTCAGTGAAAATGTTACAGCTTGGATGCTCAGTCCTTTGGGAGGATTTCCATTAAAGCTCCAAAATTCCAGATCTGGTGGTAGGTTTGAGAGATCTTTTCAAATATCGTCTTTGGTCAAACTGCAGAAAAAATTGTATTACAAGACTCTTAAAGAAATTACCTTTAAAACTTTTTTTAAGCTGCTGTAGCTTTGATAGTCACAAGGAGTAGAGTTAGTTGGGACACAGATAAAAATAAATAGCCTCATATAACATGTACCAACAAATTTAAGCTAAAATTATTCCCAATTCATGGTAAATTGAAGTGTACTTAAATCTTTTTAGAGATCTGTCTCTTGCAATGATTGCTTTGGCTGTGTAGATGATGGAATAATATGCAGCTGCCCCCTGAAATTCAGATGTTAGTCTGTCTCTTCACCTTGCAAGTGGTTTTTGCAAATTAATCAGTGGCTATAACACAGTCCAACATAAAGGGAAAAAAAGTCATAGCCCCAAAGGGAAACTGTGACTGTCATCAGAGGAGGATTTGCAGAAGTCTGTACTATACAAAGCTGTATGTATATGTGTGTTTGTAAAGATGGATGTACATACACTCATATATTTATATCCAGTGCTGAAGATTCTGACTAAAACATCGTGTTGCTCAGTCGCTCATTGAGTGAAGATGAACTCTGCAGGGCTCCTGTGTAGGCAAAAGATTGGATTAGGATTCATATACTCAAGGAATACTATCAGATTTAACTCTGGCATGTCTTACATTTGAATGCTTGGCAGAGCAAACTTAGTAATGTGTTTTTAACACGTGTGTGCATGGAAGTATATGTCATTAATCAGCAGTGACCCTTCGTATACAGATCCTGGTCTATCTGGTTTGTACCAGAAATTTTCATTTGGAAATCATTGTCTGTCTACAGAAGTTTGTTAAGTTGCTTTATACTCAGTTTTCCTGCAACTGAGAATCAGCTATTTTATATTTCATTCTTAAGAAGGATATTTTTGGAACATGCTGTTCATACTTACAACACATTATAAACAGGAGAAAACCAAAACCAAAGAAAACAGCTCTTATTAACTCCTATCCTGCTGCAGGATTATAGATGCATAAAGGTGGAAATGTAAACTTTCCAAGCAAAATACAGGAGGTTTAGATTTGATGTTGCTTTCATTCACTGGAAATCATACAGCTAAAAGAGCATTAGTTTTGATTAGGAAGTCTTAAATGTAAAAAAAAATATATTGAAAGTGTTTTTGCTGTATGCCATGGGTTAATAGATTTGCAGTGAAAGAAAGGTGGTGACTTGGGCAGCTTTGCCTTTGAGGGTCCCCAGCCCAGCCCATAATGCTGTCCTGTTACCCTCCAAAGCTCCCCTAGGGATCTACTTTCTAACTTAAGAGATCTGTCTTTATTAACATGTTTTAGACTGTAAAATATTAATGACGTGAAACATCTGCCTCTTCTTCTTTAACAGAAGTTACACGGTTTGCAAAAAGACTCAGGAGACAGATAGACCTTTGTGTCCTGGTCAAGGTATGTTCCAGAATCTGTGAAACAAAACAGATGAGCACCTCATTCACACAGGCAGCTTGGACTCATTTTGATATACTGTAGGACAACAGCCACAGGATGGGTGTTCTTATCTGGATACTGACCATGGTCCAAATCATGCTCACCCTCCTAACCATTTCATCCCATACTGTTATTATGCTGAGGGGACCTTTTCCTCCCTCTGGATTCTGTGAAAGCCTCTGAGATGTGGCCAATGGTGCCCCATGGAGAGACCACAGCAGCTGGAAGGGTCAGGTGGCAGTTTCCAGTACCTTGGCCCATCCATGCCAAAGCCAGTCAGAGAGCACGTGCTGGAGTTTTCTCAAGTTAGTTTGATGCGATGTCCTGACCACTCTCTCAGCAACCTGCACGAAGGAATCATTAATACACTGGATGTGGAGAAACTGCATGGCCAGGGAGTGGGCCATGATGTCTCTAAGGGCTCAAGACCCTCACCTTGTTCATGGATCCCAGGGATCACCTGGCAAAATCTTCTCCATACTCTTCCTGGACAGTGTTGGAAGGATTGCTGCAGCGTAGCATCCTCTGCCCTTTCCTCCTCAGGTCCAGTCACTCAGATTGGCTTCTTTTCTTGGGAACAAAGAGACAAAAATATCTCTAACAATATTTCTGCCTGCTTTTCCTCTGCACTATCATTCTTCTCAGCCACAGAGGTGCCTCCAGAAGCTGCATTTTTAACTCTTTGAGTGTGGCAAGTGGTTTCGTTCAGTGCTGCATTATTATAAGGGCCTGTGCCCTTTCCACAGCATTCCTTGCACTGGTGTCCTTGGATCCTTCCAAAACCTTGAGTTTTGGGATGGTCCAGGCCATGACAGGTCACAAATAGGGAAGAAAGCAAAAGAGAAAGAAAGCAAAAGACAACAGGTGGTATATTCTCTCCTGCAAATAAATACAAGATTTTCCCAAAAAGGCACCTGACTTAAATCATTATATTATGTCCCCACAAAAAACAGAGGAAGGAAGGAAGGAAGGAAGGAAGGAAGGAAGGAAGGAAGGAAGGAAGGAAGGAAGGAATTCTTCCTACAAACCTCCATCACATCCTTTCTCAGTTATTTCTATCTGAAGCTGAAGTTCATCTCATCTTCTCACATAGGAGTCATTTTACATTTCTAATCGTCTTTCTTAGTTTTCTCTAAAATGCATCTGGAATTTCAACTAGAGACTGACAGTCAAAGCAGGTGAGAGTGCTCCTGATGAGGAGTACTAGAGAGGAACTGTGCTGCTGCAGTCTCTGAATAGTCTAAGCACACCATCCCTTGTAGAGTACTTTGCAATAATCTAGCCATCTGGTGAGAAAATATGAACAATGTTGGCAGAGTCAGCATTCAAAAGGAAAAAAAGTAACTTTCCCATCATGTGTGGATAAAGCAGGCAGACAGCTGCTACTACCTGGACATGCAGAAGTAATTAGAGCATATAAAGGTGCAAATTCCCTGCTAGAAAGGAATGTGGATATGATGCTTGTCTTTTCCTGGGGCTGATTGCTGCCTCTGCTAAGCTGGAGTAAAGTGTTGTCAGAGCTGGTTCTCAGTTGTTTAGAGAATTCTGTTTGGTACTGGTGAAAGCCAACGGCTAAAGGGACCTGTCTAAAGTGTTGGGCCATGGAGTTGGCTGCTAGCAGCATGCTGAGAATGCTGCCCCTGGTAGTTCCCAGTCTTTGGGTCATGTGTTCTTGCTGCAAACTCTTCTTCTGACACTGGAAGCTCGAAGTCAAACAAGAAAAATGCCATTGTCTTTATATTACTGAGTGTCATGGTGTAACCCCAGCAGCAACCAAGAACCACAGAGCTGCTCACACACTGCCCCCCCAATGGGATGGGGGAGAGAATCAGAAAGGTAAAAGCTAAAAAAACACATGTTAATAGGGAAAGCAAAAGCTGCAGACACAGGCAAAGCAAAGCAAGGAATTAATTCACTGCTTCCCACAGACAGGAGGTGTTCAGCACCTCCAGGGGAGCAGGGCCCAGCACACATAATGGTTCCTTGGAAAGACACACTTCACTCCCCCCCCCCCCCCCCCCTTTATATACTGAGCATGATGTGCTATGGTATGGAATATCCTTTTGGTCAGGTTGGGTCACCTGTCCCAGCTGTGTCTCCTCCAGTCTCCCATGCACCCCCAACTTCCTTGCCAGTGTGGCAGTACAGAAAGCAGCAAAGGCCTTGGCTCTGTGTGAGCTCTGCTTAGCAATAGCAGAAACATCTCTGCATTATCAACTCTGTGTTCAGCACAAATCCAAAACATAGCCCCATACTAGCCACTGAAAGTTAACTCTACTTCAGCCCAAACTAGCACACTGAGTTAGAACCAGAATGCTTTTGGTATTTCAGTATTTCACATTGCTAGACTGGGAATTAGCTGTTCAAACAAATGGTCAGCTGCATTCACTGCTGCTTGTGGGGGCATGGTAAGCCCCTGGTGAGTGGGATTTGTTAAAAGATGTTTGAATTATGAAGTTTTTCTGAATTTTACAGAAGACATTTTTTTCTCTGGAAGGCCCAACTGGACATGGATTGTTCATCGAAAAGCCCAAAATCTAACAAAGACTTTAGGACCTTCCTGATTTCAGTATGGAAGTGAGAGACTAAATGTATGGATTTAGAAAATTTAATGAATTCAGATTTAATTTCCTTGACTGTTTTCATCATTTAGAATCATCAAGGTTGGAGGAGACCTCTAAGATCATTGAGTCCATCCATTAACCTGTCACTGCTGGAACCCCTAAACCCTAAACCAGATCCTCCAGTGTCAGATCCAGATGCCTCTTCAACACTTCCAGGGATGGTGACTCCACCACCTCCCTGGGCAATCTATTCCAGTGCCTGACAGTGCCTTTCATCAAGAATCTTAAGGAATACTGTATGATACTAGCAATTAATTAATAAAATAGTGAAGAGATGAGGGGACAAATATGACCCAGATTCATTCACAAATGACTCACAAGCAGATAAATGGGATAAAATCCCAACCAATATTATTTTAACTAGTACTATATTTCTAATGTTATAATTACTCTCTTAAAGGTTTGGACAACTTGAGAAAACTTGCCTTTGAATTTAATTCAAACATGTATTAAGGGCAGGTAACATTGAGGGAAAGTCATCCCTGATACACCATTCCATGCTTTAGACAAAACATCATTATTTGGCATAATTATAATAACTCTAGGCAAAACTAATTGCCTAGGCAATTGTCCAGATACTTCAAGCATGTTAGCCTTGTCTGCCCCATCACAGACAACACAGAAGATCATTGAAAAGAACATACCCCAGAACAAAGAACTCTTGAAGAGAGCTTAAGATTCATCTCCTTTCTACTCCCCTTCCCAATTTGGAGACTGGTCATATGAAGCCTAGTATTGAATAAGGGGAAAGCTTCCTTTTTTTTTCCCCCCCCGTTGCCTTGTGTGACTGTGTTCAGGGCTTGAGGAAATGAAAGGCATTAACTGTTTGTGTGTTCTCTACAGGCAGTGAGAATACACTTGCAGGATGACAGCACAGTCACTGTTCTGCAGTCAGGTCTGCAAGCTGTCCTAAACGAGATAATATCTCTGGATGTGGCTACAAACATCTACCAAAAGAAGCTGAGGAAACCAAAGAAGGAGCAGAAGACCATACAAGCCAAATGTAATTGGTTTTTGCTATATTTTGTCTATCCACTTAAGCTTTTGCTTGCCATTGTTAAAACTCCAACATTTCCTCTTGTTTACTCATGGCATCTGCCCTAATGGGAGTTAAGAGTCTTGCCTTAACCCAAAGGGCTGGAAAAGAGCCAATAAAATTGAGAATGGAGCATGCAATATTATCCTCCTGACTTTAAAGGTTAAGAATGAAAGGCTTTCCATGCTGACCTCTCTTACAGCTTTGTGTGGCAGCAGGAGTGAGGTTTGTGTTACTGAATTATGTATCTTCTAGATGAAGGTCGACAACTAGGGATATTAATCTTGTATTGTTTCCTTTGACAAGATCTTTTCAATCACTGCATTTCACATTCTCTTCTGTTATGAATTGAAGCACAAAAAATCATTTCTTGTGGCCACAATCTGTATGCTGGACTGGATGAAGGCTTCCAGCTCTCGTGTCCTTTTGCTGTGTCGTGGCCTGTGGGATCAGTGTGGTGCTGCAAACAATAAAAAAAACAGTTTGTATGCAGCAGTGACAAAAAGCAACTGGCAGCTTAATGAAAATGAGTAGAAACATAATGGCAAATTAATTTTTAGATTAATGATCTGCTATTTAAAATATTAGCAAGAGATGGGCAAATTGGACTAGGCTCTGTACAGAAACCTTAGCTCGTTGTTCCTGGTCTGTCATCAACTTGTGCAAATACAGGGGATGTGACACAGACTTTCTGTGACTGTTTCAGTAGGAATAATAATTTGCCTTCTTCACAGAGCCACCAGGAGAGCCATTTCAATAATATTTATATACATGTTGAAATCAAAACCAGTGCACAGAACACTCATACCACGTTTCTTCATTATCTTATTGATGATCTTACCCTTTCCAAGGTGGACTTATTGCATTCTCCATTTTCATTGCTCTTCCAGACTGTTATTTATAATAAGCAAGGTTTCACAGACCCTATCCATATGCTTTCTTGAAGGAAGATGGTTCAGTTAGAAGGGTATGAATGCAGGAAGGTGTGATTTACCTTTGGGCACTGGGTGGTAGGTTCCAATCTTTTGGGGGAACAGCTGCACTGATATGTGGCAATATCATCTATATTTCTGTTGGTCAACAGAATATTCTGCATTTTCTGTTATTGTTTTAAATCAGTTTTCTCCCTTCAGCAGATAAACCAAGATTTTTTTTCCTCAACCACATAAAATCTCAGATAAGTAGAATCATAGAATCATGAAGGTTGGAGGATACCTCTAAGATCAAGTCCAACCATTAACCTGTCACTGCTGGAACCACTAAACCCTAAACCAGATCCTCAAACATCAGATCCAGATGCCTCTTCAACACTTCCAGGGATGGTGACTCCACCACCTCCCTGGGCAATATCCCAGTGCCTGAACACCCTCACAGGGAAAACATTCAATCTGACTCTCCTCTGTCTCAGCTCAAGGCCATTCCCTCTAGTCCTCTCCCTGCAGCCATGGCAGGACACACATCCCCCACCTCTCTCCAACCCTGGCAGGGAGTTGCAGAGAGCCAGGAGGTCACCCCTGAGCCTCTTCTCAAGGCTAAACAAACCCAATTCCCTCAGCCCTTCCTCATCTCACAGGTTTTCCAGCCCTTCTCAGCCCTTGTTGCCCTTGGCTGGACTCACTCCAGTGCCTCAATGTCCTTTTTGCAGTGAGGGCCCAAAACTGAACACAGCACTAAGGTGTGACCTCCCCAGTGCTGAGTACAAGGGGAAGTAAGTTAGTATTGTCTATAACCAGATTCCAGTTTTCTCATTGGAAGTGCTTTTGCTTTTCACCTTTGCCATGATAATTGGGTCAATGCAGTTATGGTGGAAATGGACATAAACATGAATTCTGACTGATTTCAAAGCAGAGTGTTATTCCTCACTAAAGAAATAGTTTATTAATCAAAATGCTAGAATCAGATGTCTTAGTATATTTAAAGGTAAGTACAAGAAAAAAAAGCAAAAAAGGTAAAAAACTGCAAAAAACCAAACCACTTCAAGTAATAATCTCCCTTCTATATTTCGTAGGTTTGGAAACTTTAATTTCGTCACTGACACATTCCACAGATATCTGGAATCTCCTGAACAAGTTCTCCTCAGATCTTCAGACTTTAATCATTAAGGTATAAAATTAAAAATCTCAGAAAAGAAAGAGTGATCACATCATTTATCCTTCTACATGCAAACTGTCACTAGTCTGCAGGAGCTACATTGCACACTAGCAACCTGACCAGACTGCAGATTTGCATAAATACAATTTATGCACACTGTGGAAAAAGGGAGAATTAATTGGCATATAAAACTTCCATCTGTGCAAGCAACTACAAGCATATTTCTGCAGTTTGAGTATCTGCTCTCATGTCATAGACACATAGAATCATAGAATTTGAGGGGTTGGAATGGACCTTAGAGATCACCTAGTCCCAATCCCTGCCCTGGGCAGGAACACCACCCACAAGACCAGGTTGCTCAAGGCTCATCCAACCTGGCTGTGAACACTGCCAGAGTTGGGGCATCCACTACTTCCCTGGGCTACCTCTTCATATTATCACAGTCCCTAATAAACCCAAATTCAGCAGTAAAATGTTATTAAAAGTGAAGAGAATGCTTCCTGATTCCTGAAATCCTTGATTCACCAAACTGTTGGCTTTTAGCAGGCAGTGACAAGTTGTAGTACAATGTCTCTAGCTCTTGTGAAAGATTCAAGCACGACCATCCTCACAAATGCACCTTTCCATAGATTACCAACTCTACCCTCCTCTTCCTTCACTGCTTCAGAATTAGTGCTAGTTTGCTGGTGCTGCTGCAGTAGGTTAGTTGGTTGTCATACCAATTAACTCAGTTCTGGGTGGTACTTTAAGTTTGGGTGTTCTTCTCTTTGCTGTTCTGTCCTGCCATAAAACCCTCAGCTACCTCATGGGATGGTGTAGAGAAGATGAAGTGGGATTCTTCCTGGGGGTTCACAGTTCTGGGGCATAAGGCAATAGACACAAGTTGCAGCAAACAAAAAATTTCCAATAGATAGAAGGAAAAAATAATACCCTGAGAGTAATTAAGCATAGGAGGAGGTTACCTGGAAAGGCTGTGGGATCTTTATCCTGGAGATATTCAGAACTTGTGCTGTGCATTGGACAAGAGGTCAGATTAGGTGATGTCCAAAGATTTCTTACAACCTGAGCTATTCTAGGATTCTAACAGAAAAAAATGGTTGTTGCTTTTTCCACCTTTGTATGCGTTTGTACAGGGAAATAGCCTGCCACACAATAAGGAATTCTTTGAACCAACTTTATCATAACCCAGTTTTTTGTCTCTCTCTGCAGCCAAACAAGAGTCTAACGGTGTTTAAAAATCAGGCAGCAGAGTTCATGTTGCACTGGAACGTCCTACTGCGCACTGTAGGCAAAATTCTGAGCACCGACATGACAGACAGTTTTGGTGAGTAGAATCTTTGTGACTCTCATTTGACACAACCCTCTCTGATCTGAGATGGAAAGGCAATAAAGTACCTAAAGCAGCCAACAAGAGAGCTGGAGAGGGACTTTTGACAAGGGCATGTAGCAATAGGAAAGAGGTAATGGCTTTAAGCTAAAGAAAAGTAGGTTTAGATTGCATATTAGGAAGAAATTCTTTATTGCCAAGGTGGTGAGGCACTGGCACAGGTTGCCCAGAGAAGCTGGGCAAGTGTTCAAGGTTCAAGTGTTCAAGGCCAGGTTGGATGTGACTTTGAGGAACTTGATCTAGTGGAAGGTGCATGGCAGGAGGTTTGGTGCTTGATGATCGTTAAGATCCCTTTGAACTCAAATCATTCTGTGACTCTGTCTCCATGATTTCAACTGACATTAATTCATGTTACAGTTAATAGAGGCATCACTTCTTCCTACTCTCTTCCTTGTCTCAAACATTACCATTCTCCTGGTGATATGGCTAGACAGGGCAAGGAAATGAAACCATTAGTTTTTGACCAGACCAGTTCTCTGAGCCAAACTCTAGGATAAGCAGAAGGGTGAATAGGAACATGCAACTGGAGATGGCAGCTGGTAAGAACTCCCTCTTTGGGCAGAAACCATAGTTTGTCTGTGGGGAAATGGGGAATAGCAGCCTGAGGTTAGAGCCTCTGCTCTCCCTCCATACCAGAGCTGCACACCCCAGCAGAAGGGTGTGATGGAGAGCTGGTACCACTAATATCCCAAACCATAAACATTCCACATCTCTCGAGTGATAGCTCCAAGTCCTTCAGGGTCTTTCTGTGTAATACATCCAGAGAAGAGACACTGCAATAACTACTTGCCAAAAAGGCAGTTAGTGCCTCTGTCCACAGCTATATGCTCCTTTTCCTTGCTCCTTACACTGACCTAAGTGCTTGCCTAGCCAGCAGCATGCCTGTGGGAGGTACTAAACTGACTGAAAATTGTTGTCACTCTTTTAGCTGTGTTAGTTTTCTCTCTGTTTTAGGACTCTGAGCTGTCAAACATCAAATCCACCCTACCCCAATGCGAGGCAGTAGAGTGAACTGTGCAGTCATGTTCATTCAAAGTGGCTTGAAGTGCTACATCCATGTCTTAAATCAGTTCAGTCACTTCCATTTCTATATTGCATCAACCTCACTGCCTTTTCCTACACTTGTAACACCTTGCAGAGGCTCCCTGTCTATTATTCATTCTGCCAAATGCACAATCTCCTGTGAGTAGCATCTGATCCCAAACTATACGAACCACCTTTTAGATTTTCAAAGGAGCACCTTCACATTTTTAAGTCTTCTGTTGGATGGGGTTTCACACAAACAGCCAAAGAAAACCTCATTAGCTTCTTTGAAATTCCCCTTCAAAACTTTACGTTTATGTGTTTCCAACAAAGACGTAACAAACAGGTATGTTAAGGTCTTTGCCTTTTGTGTCCTTCAGTTTTCTTACCCCATTCATGCCTGTGTCTGTGCATATATGAATGCACACATCTTCTGCATCAAGCTGCTGCCTTTTGCCTTATGTTTAGATTGTAAGCTGTCTGGAGCAGGATCAGAGTTCTGTTTTATGTCTGCAGAGAACATAGCACAGTAGGCTCCCTTGTCCACCAGCTGCAGTATTACAGTAGTAATAAAATAATCAGCCTTTTTTCTCTCTCCAGATGAGTTCTGCACAAAACTCTCCAGCGTTACACGCAATATTTTTGGCAATGAGGAAATTGGGAATGAATTCTAAGGACTGCACTGGAAGCATAATGTTTATTGAAACCCCCCATGGTGATAAAATCCTCTTCCCTCTTTCCATCCCTCAGAGTTTAATGAATTGCCTCTCTGTTCTGAAGTTGTTTATGAGTGGGGCACAACTGATGGAGAGCATCCCTTCCTCTGCTGAGCCTTCCTTAAACCTAGTTACAAATCATATTTTCATCCCACTAACAACAGCCTTAACTTCAGCAACATTAAGATTGAATGTTTTCTCACATACGAGAGTTAAAAATTATTAGAGAAGGTTTTAAATAGTTTTTAATCTTTTGCTGCCATGCTCCAATAATTTGCTCATTATTGTCTTCTTTCACAATAACCTCAGTTCTTTAAGCTGTTTGATCTAAGAATGTACCTTCTTTCCCATGTTTCTATTCCATTAGGATCTGGAGTTTTAGCAGACAGGCTGAAGCAGTTCTGTTAGCAAACCATCTGGTGTAAAAGTTCTCTACTCGGGGTCATTCCTTTTCAGAGATTTTTTAAATGCCAGCATTTCCTGCAGGAATGATGGGCACCCTGCCAGTCAAAATATGAAGTGTGTAGCATCCACACTGAGGAAACACAATTAGATAGGGAAATGTGTGAGTGTGATGTTAATGCAGTGTGTGTCGCCCCCAAAATAAACCACATACCATCAACCAAAACCAAACTGACTTCTGGCTTGATCGTTTGCCTTGGAGCTTGCCACATCCAGCACACATACCGGCATGCTCACACCTCTGGATTTAGGACTGGCTTTTACCCTTTTCCAGCCCAGCCTCAACAATTGTGCCTCTACACGTCTCCCTCACAGAGTTTCACATCAGCTCACACATCTCTGTTTCCTTACTGATCTATCTTCTGATATTTAGTTTCACTGCTGAGCCACATGGGCTGAAATGACCTGTGCATTCCTCTTTTGCAAGCAAGTAGCTTCAATCTAGTCCCTCTTGAAAACTGTGTCCACCCCATACTGGGGGCCCTCTGCCATCATGGGACAACTGGAGTGGTAGCTTTGGTTTCATGTTTACTCTTGTTGAATAGATTGAAAACACCTGTAGGACTGTTAGAAACACCCTTGGACTACAAGTGTCAGGTCTGTATGTTTTCAATCCCAACTATAAAAATCCCTTTCCTCATTCTATAGATAAAGAAGTACTTCCACCTACTTTGCTACAATTTAAAGATTATCAAAGGGATGAACAGCAGAAGCAGCAGCTTCTTAGACACATGTTAACAGCAAAAGATAGAGTATTTTTAATTTTTAAAGCTCTGTAAAACTTGGTCATATAAATTATGGTATCTCCTTGTTGCAGATGTGAATAGCTTGGTGAATTCCTATGCAGATTTATGGCATGGAAGAAGACCTACATTTTACAGTAAGGACTTTCAACAAAGGGATGATTCAAAAGTCAATGGCCTCAGTGAGTCTCTCTTGGCTTTTAGCAGTTATGACCCAAGCTGCAAGGCAGGCTATTTGATGCCATAGATACAAGATATAGAGATGTCTGTAGGAGGTTTTGCTTGAGAAGAGGTGGAATAATTTATCTGTCTGAGGGGAGAATAGGGATGACACATGGTTACTGATAAGCCTTGCAGTGGAAGTGAATGTGGTGGAAGAACTTGAACAGCACAGTGAATGAACACAAGAACACTTTCCTCTCTAGGTAAAATAAGGGAAAAAACTTTTGCTAATGTTTAAAATCTGCACTCGGTGCCTATTTTGCTGTGACATTTGGAAGTATATAGATTTTTAAGTACTGTTTGATGAGTGCTGGTCTCTTACTTTGTCTAGCCCATTACTATAATGAAGCTCTTCAAAAAAAGAACACATCCTAAAGGTCAGCAAATGAAGAGGTTCTAATTATTTCTGGTTTTCTTTAAACCTAGGATCATGGCTTTTGTTGAATACGCTACTCATCGATTTTGCAGCTCATGTTCTCCAGTCCCATATAGAAAAGCAGAAGGAAGATGAAAGTCCCTTGATCCCAAGGAAAGATGAGGCCCCTCTTGTGAGTACTTATGAGCCCAGTCAGGTCTCAGCCTGTTTTGCAGAGGAGGAACCTCAGGCCAGTGCTCCACAGGCAGCTCTCATGATGCAGTACGAAAATAACTTCGGATCAAGCTTTGTTTTCCAGAGTCCCGAGTTGTCTGGTGAACTCAGCCACTATCAACAAGGTGAAATTAGCATTAACTTCAGAGAATATGATGGGGAAAAAAGTTATAAATTCGGCAAATTAGGAGAGATTGGGAGGGGGGTGGTTGGTTGGGGGGTTTTATGCATGTAAAGTAGAACTGATGAAAGGTTTGCACGGAGCTGAGTCCAGTGTCACCAAAACCTCAAGGCACAATGCATCCACCATCTCCACACCACCCACCTCCCCAGCACCACAGGTCCCTGATGCTTCCCTTAGGTTTCTAGCAGACCTCTGGTCCTCCTTCAGATCTCCCAGGTGCTGTCCATGGAAGAGCAGTGTTGTTGTGGTGGGCTGGGAGCAGGTTGTGGGCTGCACGTATCTGTTGATCAGGAGAGAGCACAGTGTGGCCTTTTCTCACTGTTGGAAGCACTGAGAGGCTCTCCCCCCTCCACCTATCTGTTAGTTTTGTCAAAAGATGCAGAAATCTGAACTCCTTGAGACCTTTCTATCCCACCAGGCTTTCTTGTGGCCAGTCCTCTGCTCCAAACTTCCTAGCATACGGCATGACATACAAGTAGAAAACAGGACTCTAGGTCTTCTAAGACACAAGGCTAAAACATAAGGACATATGGGAACATGGATCAAGCCTCTGTGCTTAATTGAAGTGCTGAATTAGACATTCAGCTGTTTTCAGATTTCTCTTCCATGCAGTAACAGCACTTGTCTTAAATCTTAGGGAACATTGTGTTTTCCAGAAACAGCGAGGCACAAATGTTAATGACACCGAGACTCAGAAAGAAAATTGCATTTTTGGGGTTACTTTACTCCCAGGAGGTATTCTGTTTCCAAATATTAGGACCAGGAGTGGAAATCAACTGTTTAAAAAACATCTTTATTATTTATAAATACCTTTAGGGGACCCTAATTTTTTTTAATATGAAGTAGGCTAAGACTAGCTCAGCAATGCAAATTGGAGGGGAGAAAGCAGATACAAAGGGGACAAACCAAGAATGATTTCTACATGTGATGGGCATGTTTGACAGCTTTTTTTATTTTTCAAATGTAATATAATGACCCATCCTGCCATACCACCTTAATGTCAAAACCCAAACTGAGCTGGGTGCCAGCTATTAGCAGGAGAGATCTAAACCACTGATGGGCAGAAATGAGGAAATAAACCACCAGAAATCCTATTCAGTAACTAGCCTGCTTCTTATGCTCTTCACTTCCATCCATATGGGCTTTTGTATGGCCTCCTATGCCCATTGCAATGTTTTTTGCAGGTGTTGGCAGACAAGGGTTGGACCCAGATTTGGTCAGTGTAAGTGATGTGCCTATAAATATGTCTATCAGCGTTGCCTATCTTGTACCTGATTGCAAGAACAGAGCAAGGCTGCTGAGAGTGAGGGATGACGGGTGTCAGAATAAGAGACAAAATGTAAAATGAGGGGGGAAGGACACAGTGAAGGATTAAGGGAGTGTAGGAAAAGTTTAATGAACCCCACAGATGATGGATTCTACCAGTCCATGTGCAAGATGCTGAGAATGGGGGGATGAAAAGGAGACTCTAGTAAGAGCCTGTTGATGTTGTAGTTCAAGTGTTTACGGTTTGTGAGGGAGCTGAAAGACTTGAACCTGCAGCTCAAAAGGGCTTTGGGAGCTGTGAGAGAGTGAGTGAGCACGTCTGCCCACGCGTGTTCTTCAGATGGTTGGTAGCTCCCACCTCAATCATTGCAGATCCCTTCCTTTAAGGTGCCAATACTAATTCCACTGGTTGTTGAAGAACAGAGCTGCCAAAAGGATCTGCATCACCCACCACTTTGTTTGTACTGCCATTTCTATAGATCCTATTGAATAGATTCCCATTGCATGAGGATTTTTGTTCTGTGACTTTTGAACACCAAAACCCATCATTGTGCTCCCAAGCAACCATCTGTCTCTGCTTCTGACTAATCCCCCTTCGGCCACAGCATGTTCTGAGAGGTATCTAAACCTTCATCATGCCTAGCAGCATCCACCAGCCACACTGCTGTTTCCTGGACCACGTTTCTGCTGCCTGCCATACCTCTCACAGGTTTATTTCATACTTTTTGCTTTTAATTCCTTTACCTCATGCAGCCTCAGCAGCTCTCTGCAACCCAGTGCCTTTATCAGTTCCCATCCTCCACTCCATCCACTGCCAACAACACCAACCTCCATAGCTTTTTACTCTTGTCCCATGAGGCATTTCTATGTCTTCTCTACAGCCTGTTAACTCCATCCAAACAACACCAACCTCCATAGCTTTTTAGTCTTGTCCCATAAGGCATTTCTATGCCTTCTCTACAGCCTGTTATACTGGGGGGAAAAAAAAAATCTGTTCATCACACCTCCACCCTCATCTCATTGAAATTAGTGCTAACCACTCAGCTTTGCTACAAAACCTTGGAAAACCAAGAGGGAAAACTGGTAACAGAAATCAGAAACAACACCAACCTCCATAGCTTTTTAGTCTTGTCCCATAAGGCATTTCTATGCCTTCTCTACAGCCTGTTATACTGGGGGGAAAAAAAAAATCTGTTCATCACACCTCCACCCTCATCTCATTGAAATTAGTGCTAACCACTCAGCTTTGCTACAAAACCTTGGAAAACCAAGAGGGAAAACTGGTAACAGAAATCAGAAAAGAATCTCCCAACCTTACCCTGATATCAGCAGCACCAATATGTGTCTGTGGCTGAGCAGATCCCTTCATGGTCTTTTAGTTGTCACCTTCATTCTTCCTCTTCCTTCCCCATCTGTTTTTCGTCTTCCATTCCTAGTTCATGCTGAATACAAATCACACTCCTCGACAGAGAGACTGTGGTTTTCCATTAATTGTGAACAGCACAGTACATTTCTGAATCTTATTTTAAAATACAGTTTGAAGCCTGAAAATAATTGTTAATAAGCTTGAAAGCAGAATACATTCCAAGCTGGTGGCATCTCCTGAGGAAAACAATGGTTTGCATGAGAAAAAACACAGAGGGCGAGGAGCAAGACGAGACCAGATCTGTACATCTGGCTAAGCAGGGAGTGTGGCAGATGAAATGCTACATAGCTAAACACATGCAGTATGAACTAGGAATGGCTGAAACTTGTGGCAGTAGCAGAGATGCTCTGAGTGAGCCATAATCTATAAAAGTGCAGCTCAGAGAGCATTGGCCCAATCTTTATTCCTTATCACAGAGCTCCCAGTTGCTTTCTCTCAGCATGAATAGCATTTTTCTCATCTAGAAAATCCCATTCTGGGCTTCTGCTCTTTGTTCACTTGTTGCCAAATTAAAATCCTATTAAACTGCACACCTGCAGTGGGTTTATCTGCAGAGCACTGTGCTGTAGCTTTTAATCCAATTCCACACCTTCGTAAAATACAATGTACTGCAAATCAGGGCGCAAAGAGACTGAAGGTGCACTGTTCCCAGCACTGCTGGCAGAGAAAGAATCAAACACTGATTTGTTGAAAACGGAGAAAAAAATGGGGCATAGTTAACTACTTGACTTGTAGGAACGATAAATGTTCATCTAAGTGGTCTGTATAATCCAGGATACAGAGATCAAGTGAAATCATTAGCTAAAATGATCAAAAACCGAGAACAAAATCATGACCCTGTTTAAATTCAGTGTCAGACCTTCTGCTGATTTTAAGATAGCCAGAATTTCCCCATGAAAAAGCAGTCCCATCAGGGGAGAGACAGGCTGAGATTATTTGTTTTGAATAGAAGGGCTTATAGCAGACACACAAAGTGTGAATGATGGATTAAAACTGGATGTGCCCTCCAATCAGACCTTTGCCACCCTATGAGGAACCCCAATGTGTACCTCTTCTTGCTGGATCTATTCATAGAATCATAGAATTTTAGGGGTTGGAATGGACCTTAGAGATCATCCAGTCCCAACCCCTGCCCTGGGCAGGGACACCTCCCACCAGAGCAGGTTGCTCAAGGCTCATCCAACCTGGCTGTGAACACTGCCAGGGTTGGGGCAGCCACAGCCTCCCTGGGCAACCTGGGACAGTGTCTCACTACCCTCACAGGGAAAAACGTTTTTCTAATATCTCACCTAGATTTCCCCTCTTTCAGTTTGTACCCTTTGCCCCTTGTCCTGTCCCTGCAGCTCCTAACACAGATCCCTCTGCAGCTTCCCTGGAGCCCCTTCAGCTCCTGGAAGGTGCTCTGAGGTCTCCACACAACCTTCTCTTCTCCAGGCTGAACAGTCCCAACTCCCTCAGCCTGTCCTCATAGAGGAGATGCTCCAGTGCTCTTAGAAACTTTGTGGGCTCCTCTGGACTTGTTCCAACAGTTCTATGTCCATTATTGATGTAAAATAAGGCTGGATATCTATACAGTACCTCAGGTTCAGAAGGAAAGACCAGAGAAGACTTTTTTGTTCAATGGAGAAATGTATGATTTACAGTTCCTACAGTCAAAACATTTTCACATTTCTTTTCTGATTTTCAGCACATCCATGTACTTTTGGAACTGAGATGTATTATGGGTACTAAGCTGGATCTTCAATTTGGAAGGGAAACGCTTCATACTCAAAGAGATGGACAGACACTTCTTTGCCTCTCATGAGCAACAAATCTACAGATAAAACCATCATGACTAGAAAATTATTAATGTGTTGGAGAATGGCGGGACATGATCCTGGGTATGCACCTGGGGAAGGCCAAAAAGAGCTACGCCACAGTCCTGTGGGAGCATACAGTCACAGTCCTGGGAACACACCTGGGAATGCAGTGTACAAGTGTTAGGGTTTGGTAGGAGCTCCTCTGTTGCTTTAAGGAATTTTCCCCCATACATGTTATCAGATGGTTGGATACTTAAGAGAGACAAAGGACCCCTCTGTCGGTCACTGGGGTGGGACACCTTTTCT